CTAACCCTAAAGTCATTCCTTTCCTTTCGCAGAATTTATTAATCGATTTATGTGTAATCTGAAAATAATTTCAGTAGTTTTTCATGATCTGTAAAAATAAATAAATAAAAATAAAAAGATCTGCATGTCGCTCATATTAAAGAAATGAAAAACAAATAAATCTCATATCCTGTCAACTGGGCTGCAGAATCCTCTCCTTATAAATGATTAATTCTCTGCGAAAAAAACGCAGATCCTCATCTAACGGACATTCAATGTTTGTTTTTTAAACCTAAAGTGTGTAACAAACTTAGCGAATTATTTTTTTGCAGTTTTATGCACGAGCTACGACAAAAACCGACTAAATCGCAGAAAAAAACGGCGTTCTTGGATGAAAGGAGTGCAGAGACAGAGGAAACTATGCAGTGCGTATTACTAATCATCCCACTAATCGTCCGCCATTGAGTACTTTCTTGTGATTGGCTTATACAAGGGAGCTCTGTGATTGGTTTTAAACTATCCCCTGTATGCATTTGTTTATCGATGCATATAAAGAGAGTCTCAAAAATCCACACACATGCAGTGAAGTTTGAAGACCACTGGTACTGCACTGTAATTTAATTTATACGTGATTATAGACCAAAAATGCGTTGGCGAATCATGTGCTGTGCATGTGTGGATCTTCTATGCTTGCGTGAATTGTGATGTGTGTGTATGGAGATATGTGTATTTGTGAAAATTGAGACCCATTTGGCTCCATCAAACTCACCGTCAGATCCTTCCTGATTGCAAAGTTCTCTGGTTTGATGTCACACAGGTGCAGCTGGTGGGTGAAATCGTTGTCAAAGTGCCACACCATGTCTAAGAAGCTCAGGGCGATCTGATGCACCATCTGCCTGGTGGTCCACCTTGCAGACGCCCCAGCGTGGCTCTGATCCAGCATCCTGGGAACAACCACCTCCTCCATGGAGAAGATGTTCTGGTCCCACGTATGTCCGGCTGACAGATACTCGACAGCATAGAAGTGACCGCAGGAGCCCAACACCTTGGCCACATGGGGGCTGAGATCCTGCAGGACTCTGGAGAACAAGGAGGGAACGTTTAAATGGGGCAATATGATACAAAATGTTCTGTTTTTACCCTTTCTAAAATGTTCATTTGGCTTTCTTTAAGCAATCATCAGCATTATTTCACTCTACATGCTAGAGTAGAGGGTTAGCGGAGGGTTAGGAGTTGAACTCTCTCCTCACAATGGAGGATGGAGCAGATGATCAAAACTACAACTTTCAAACTACCTCAGGAGAAAAACATGGAACAGACATTGTTGCAAAACCAGAACCTGCACATAAGAACATTTTCCTTTGGGATCGATTCACAGAGTGCAGAATAGTTCCACAAACTCATNACCCTCAAAATGCAACATGGCTACCTTGCATCCTCTTTAAATCTTTAACACACAGTTTAATACAGCCTCCTTTAATTCAAGTTTCCTCTGATTGAGAGGAAACAAAGTGGAGGGAAAACATTTTTGTTTGCTTACACTGCTAATAGTGGGCAGTTAATGCTAATTAAATGTTTTAACATAAAGTCTAGACAAGGTTAAAGGTATAGTGGAGGATTTTCACAAATTTTTGAAAAGACCCGTCTTCTCTACTTTAAAAAGATGCACATGCACAACCCTGTACCCGCTACAGAGAGGGAATGCCTATTAAACGCGTGTGAGAACATGCACAAGCCCATTTCTCCTCCTGCTTGCTTTGTTTAAGAGTTGCTGTTTGCATCACTCACACAAGCTTACTTTCCAAAAACAGATTTGCAAAATTTCCACTATGTAAGGCTCATCACCAATAAAATTGCTACCTGGGGACATGCATGTAGGAGGGCCCTTATGCCACCAGAATGATTGACAGTTAGGAGGACCACTTATTTTGATGATCAACCCAGAAAAAGAACACCCTCCACTATACCTGAAAGAGTGTCTTTGCATTCCCAGATCCAGATGTTAACTTCAACTAAATGGGACACATATATTGCTGGTTTACTACCATCCACTTTAGCTTGAAAAGAGAGCTCTTCCATTTAGCTGCACTCTGTTTTTTTTATTTGGAAACTTCCCTATTAAAATAAATCTTTTACACATAAAACATTTTTTCAGAACTGCTTTGCAAAAAACAGATGACAAAATGTCCTCTTATTTTTTTAAAGGCAGCTTAAATACCACCACTGGTACATTTACATATTTTTTTCAAACCAAACCATTTGTCTGAATATTACTATGATATCACTTTATTGCATCATTTTGTGATATTTAAATTACATGTAAACTACTTATCCTTAAAAATCCCCAATTGCAAGCCACAATTTAAAACTTAGTGATATGCACTAAGCTTGTGTGAGTAAAACAAGCCAATTTGCCAGCAACATATCACCAAGTGCCAGAAGAGGTTTTGTTGCTTAAGATCAACACACAGTAGAAATGACAGCCTAATAAAAGACAGCAAGTGGGCTCCTTGGATCCACACAACATGGTGCATTAACAAAGTCTATTACGCCAAATTCAATGCTCCGTGACATAAACTTGCCATTTTCTATTTACCCAATAGCTCTCCTAATTTGGTGTCTTCTCATTTTCCATTTAAAAGTAATAACTATATGGGCTTTAGAGAAAGTCACCCTGACGTGGGAAAAAGTCCCCCAGCTTTCAATTTGTGCCTTAAAGTTTTACTTTAATTCTTACTCCAACTTCATAAACTAAGCTACACCTCGCCATCCTAAATGCAAATACACACTTAATTTAACAGCACATCATTTATTTTTTTGGTTACCCTTCCACCTTATTTCATAAACTCCTACAGACTGAACCATCGTGCCGAAAGACGACTTGCCAGGCTTTATTTTTCATTACATCACCTCATCTTTCTGAGGTAGCTAACACATCATTGCTAAGTTTTGAATTTTGTTACAATACAGTGTGTTTAAAAACGTATTACTAACCATAGACTTTTTGGATATTGTTACAGCATAACCACATTTTGACTATCATTGCATCTAAGGCAGTATATTGTCTTGTATCAGGTGAAGCTCCAGCCCAGTGTTTGCAAACTCTAACCCTGCCACTGCTGAAGATCTGTGATGCCACTACCATATTCAATCGCTGCAATGGTATGTAAAAGTAAAATATGCTTTTTGCAGCATATTTTATCGTAAATTATAAGAAATTCCTACTTGTGTGATGAATCTCAGTAGCTCCTCCAAAGAAACAAAGGGCTGCTTCTTTAATTATAGTTCTCTTCACCTGGTCTGCCAGTTTAGATGGATGGCCAAGAGTTAGCAGGTTTGTTCCGCAGAACCATGCTTTATTTTTCCTTTTTTGGGAGATGGTTTCCACTATTGCAGCATTGGTTTCAGTTTTCCAAAATATACAAGGCCTTCCTGTTTAAAACTTCTCCCAAACTTTATTCCTGATCCATTTACTGTGTTCTTTGGTATTGGTGAACCGGATTGTTCTCAAATATTATCTAGGAAACATCTAAAGCCTTAACTGAACAGCTGGGTTTATACTTATCTTAAGATAAACACTGCTGGTTTTTATTTTGTGAAGTATGAGTCCAAAATGATTCATTAAGTCATCCTACTGATCCAGGGATCATTGCTCCTTTTCCCCATCCACTCATTTCCCTGATTACTCTTTAATATTGCTGGCAAAAAGATAGTTAACAAAGAAAATTGCTTCTATAACTGCAACTCGTACTTTAACTGGATTTAAGATTATACTTCAACTTAACTGCTTTTTAAGCTCTTTGCGAAAAGCAACTCACCTCACAGTTTTTCTCCCTGCAATCAGCTGTGCTTAAAAGAAATGTTCAGCAGTCTGGCACCCCTGAGAAAAACAGAGGTATCACTGAATTGGTAACTCAACCCAGCTCGAAAAAATCTCTGCTTCTTTTCATCCCCTGGAAAAACAAACGAAAGGGAAGAGTGAGTGGACAACCTGCTCAGTTACTTTCTCTTCCTCTTTTGGTGCTTTTTGTTCTCCTTAGCTGAATAGATTTACTCCCTTTTATTTTCCAGTGATTTTGTTCAGACAAATTATTAACTATTAATGTGATGTTTGTCAAAACAGACTGAATATACACACTGCTCACACTGAATGAAATATAATATTCTCATTGAATACTTTGTTCTGTAAAAAGTTGAAAGTGCTGACAACAAAATCACACAAAAACCATCTATGGAAATCCAATTTATCAACCAATTGAGGCCTGGATTTGGAGTCACACAAAAAATGTAGGTAGAAAAACACTATAGGTTGATCGCACATTGAAATAATGTCCTTAAAACAGGTCAGAATGAGGCTCAGTTCTGTGTTGGGCCTCAACGTGCCTGGATGACCTCCTTACAGTGCCTGGGCGTGCTCCTGATGAGGTTGTGGGTGGTCTCCTGAGGGATCTCCTCCCAGACCTGGACTGAAGCATTGGGCAACTCCTGGACAGTTTGTGGTGCAATGTAACATTGGTGCATGGATTGAGACACGACGTCCCAGAGGTGCTCAATATGATTCAGGTCTGGGGAAGGTAGCACCTCCAAGCCTCTGGATACTAGGCTGATGTTATTATACAACAATTACTCAGTACTTCTAATACATACTTTTAAATTTTCACTTAAGCAATGTCTTGGTCGACTACTTTTTATTTTTACTTTACTTGAAGAGTAGCACTACTACAAAAGTAGTGCTACTCTTACTTGAGTACAATTTTTTTGGTAATCTACCAGTGTATTCTCATTATGAGTTTGTATGAAATCGTACGAAAAGTTATGCACCGTAATTTCGTATGTTTTGGACGTTTTTTTCGTCATATTCGCATGTGCATCTGACGCACCATTCACGAACATAGAATATAAATTACAATTAGCCCTAACCCTGACCCTAACCCTCACCCTAAGATATAAAACAGCAAGCAACATAGTTAGAGACATGAATAAGTGATGATTGCACTGTTTTTCCCAGTTTTACGTCCGTCCACGGATCTGCTTTTTTTTCTGTCTGCCAGCGCATGCGCACTGATGTGGTTTTTTGAGGAAAAACGTCCAAAATAGTGTGAATAACTTTTCGTACGATTTCATACGAACTGATAATGAGAATATGTTGAATCTACCCACCTCTGACCACGAGTGTGAACATTAAAAAATAACCAAAACATCAACATGAAAAAATAGGTACTGAGAAATGGTCTGTGGTTCCAACATGCAGAACCACTCCTCTATTGGGTTTGCCTTGCTAATTGCCAATAATTTCCACATTGTCTTCTATTCCATTTACACAACAGCATGTTAAATTGATTGTCAATCAGTATTGCTCCCTAAGTTTACAGTTTTATTTTACAGAAGTTTAATTTAATAGGTAATTTACCATTTAATATAGGTTCTACTGCGTTGCTTAAGTGTTCCCTTTAGTTTTTTTTAAGCAGTGTATATTTAACTAGTTCCACTGTCTGTTTCAAAGCTGAATAAGTGTTGTGATTTTTTCTGCTACTGAAGTGTTCTCACTAATCAAGGTTTTGTCTCTTTTTAAGTTGTTTTATTATTAGTTAATACTTTTATGGTTTATTATTTACCACATATTATATAAAAAATATTATCAATTAAGATACTGTTTGAATATTTTTTTTTTGTTATTCAAAAAGAAAAAATAAAAGGTTTTCCCTCAGAAGTTGTTGATCTGTCAATTTCCTCAATAATATACAGAGATGGCAAAAGTACTCACTTTCCGTACTTGAGTAAAAGTACAGATACATGTGTTAAAAAATACTCTGGTAAAAGTGGAAGTACTGATTAAACTTCTTTACTCAAGTAAAAGTAACAAAGTAC